TACGCATCGAGAAGTTCATGCAACTTGCCTCAAAACAAAATGCTCATTATAACTAGTTCGAATGATCTTGAACGATTCAGAAAGACTTGCAACGTAAACTGTGAGCCCAAACGTAACTTCGTAATTGTATTTATATTTATATTTATATTTATATTTATATTTATATTTATATTTATATTTATATTTATATTTATATTTATATTTATATTTATATTTATATTTATATATTTATATTTATATATTTATATTTATATTAATCTTGATAGTTTTATAAATATTAATATAAATATAAATATAAATATAAATACAATTACGAAGTTGCGTTTTGGCTCTCAGTTTACGTTGCAAGTCTTTCTGAATCGTTCAAGATCATCTACTTATAAAGAGCATTTTGCCTTGAGGCGAGTTGCATGAACTTCTGGATACGTATACATAATTCACTTAAGATTTGAGATTTCTATTTAGGTAAAATTAGTTCAACTGTTTACTTCGAAAATACTATTTCCGCTTTCACTAAAAAATTAATAATGTGATTTCCAGTTGATATCTTTCAAACAGACTTATATTATAGTTTCACGAATGGTACATATTATTTATAGTTTTACGAATGCACGCATTTATGACACCTTGAATTTTTATAATTAAACCACTTTTCATAGGACTCTAATATTTTATGATGTTCTTTAAGACTGTGATTACTATCAACACAGGTAGTTTCATCAATATCGTCAAAATAAAGTTTTGTACTATTAATTACGAAGAAATTGCCTTAATTAATTTTAATTTAAATATCGAAAAAGGACCATATTGACCATTTAAATGATTTAAAAATTAGTCTACTAATAGATAAGCTCAATTTTGATCTAGAAGATTAAAAAAGAACTCTACTGACTACCAAGAAGGTTAAAAAAGAACTCTATTGACAAGTGAATATAATTTTGAATCAGAAGGGAAATAAGGGACTCTACTGACGAGCAAACTTAATTTTGATCTAGAAGATAAATAAAGGACTCTACTGACGACGAAGAAGATCAAAAAAGGACTCTACTAGTAAGTGAACAATATTTTGAACCAGAAGAGAAATAAAGGACTCTACTGACGAGCGAACGTAATTTTGACCTAGAAAATAAATAAAGTACTCTACTAACGACAAAGAAGATGAAAAAACGGACTCTACTGACGTCTAAGAATATTAATCAAGGACTCTACGATCGAGTGAATAAAATTTTGAACCAGAAGAAAAATAAAGGACTCTACTGACGAAAATAGAAGATAAAAAATGGACTCTACTGAGGAGCAAACTTAATTTCGATTTAGAATATTAAAAAGAGACTCTACTGACCTACTGACAAGCAAACTTAATTTTGATTCAGAAAGCAAATAAAGGACTCTACTGATTTTGATTTAAGAGGACTCTTCTAAAAAGCAAACTTAATTTTGATTCAGAAGGTAAATAAAGAAATCTACTGACAAGCTAATTTAATTGCAAACTAGATGTTAAAAAGGGACTCTACTGATGAACAAACTTAATTTCAAGTTAACCTAGAAGTATAAAAAAGGACTCTACTGACGAGCAAACTAATCATAATAGATAAAAAAAACTCTACTGACAAGTTCCTGATAAGCTAATTAAAAAAGAGTGGACGGAACAAAATTTTAAAACAAAATAGAAATGTAAAGAAGTATAGAATAAGTATATTGCAAAAAATGTAGAGCTTGTATTTTAAAATTCCTCTTTTTTCAATTCATTTTATTTATTGAATATTTACCAAAGATCGAGCTAATTTACTACTACTCGGACAGCTTGATGTCAAGCAGTAGAGTGACATTGATTTTCACTTGGAAATATAGATTGCGTACATGAAAATAACCCTTAGTGTAATTGTATTACAGAAATTGTAATAATAGTAGGACAAACTTTGGATTGCCATATATAAAGCCACATGGTTAATAATTACTGCTACTTATAGTTTAATAATTCATAGAAAAAAGTGTTACATCAAAATTAGCACGTGTCCTTCCAACAAATTCACAAGATAATATACATATATTGGGTGCGTTAAAATAACTAAACATTATTGTATTGTTTATTATTCGGTGCCATTGTCTTATCCATTAGTTTTGCGTTAAAAATGTGTTTTTGACCTTTGCGCATATTTTTAAAAGAGATTCAAAGAAAAGACTTATTACACAGTAACACACATTTATATAACTGTAGTGTCTATTTAAAACTGTTTTATAATTAATTAATTATGTTCTAAATTGTTTGCATTTGAGGTCTCGTTGTGGCCTCCATATGTCGGTGTATTTATATGAGATTTTATATGAATATGGAAATACAGCCCTTGGAGATATTTTTGGCAATGGGTTAGATTTTATGACGGATTCTTATGAAATAATTGGTTGCGAAAATGATTGAAATCGCACACAGTTTACACAATAATTTTACAGATGATATAGAAGAAATAACTAAATGTAAATAAACTAAAATTACTCATTCGGTGAGTTAATTAGTATTTCATGATTACAATAAGTAGATTCTTCGTCCGTCTAGGTCCGGTGAACAAATATAATGTATGTAAAATAAAAGTCAAAAGATGAAAGGAAAAAGAAATTTCGATTCTTTTCCACGTAAAGTTACGCACGATGAAATCATCATCATCATCATCATCAGCATAATAATATAAAATATGTACAATATGGGGGAAAATGTTCTTCTTTCGTAATAGACGACAAACTTATTGTTAATGGTTAATGGATGATGGAGACGTTGTATAATAACTTTGATATAATTATTATCGAAGAAGATTTTGATAAAATTTAATTTTGTAAGTGGCAACTTACATTATGTTCATTTAAACATTTTGGTGTACCCCGGAAAAAATAATGCATATATGTGCACCTATTTTGATTAGTTTTCTCGTCCATAGGGTCCATTTTTTAATTTGTAAAATCAAAATTAAGTTTGCTCGTCAATAGAGGCAATTTTTAATCTCTTGGTCGTCAGTAGAGTCCTTTTTTAATTTCTAAAATCAAAATTTAATTTGCTCGTCAGTAAAGTCCTTTTTTTAATCTTTTGGATGAAATTTAAGTTTGCTCGTCACTAGAGTCCCTTTTTAATATTTTAAAACACAATTCAGATTTCTTTTCATTAGAGAGTCCCTTTTTTATTTTTAAAGTCAAAAGTTTGCTCGTCAGTAGAGTTCTTTTTTTCAATTTTTTGAATCTTTTGGATCACAAATCAGTTTGCTCGTCAGTAGAGTCCCTTTTTTATTCTTTTGAATCACAATTAAGGTTGCTTGTCAGTAGAGTCCTTTTTTTAATCTTTTAATTAAAAAATAAGTTAGCTCATCAGTAGAGTCCTTTTTTTATTTTTAAAATCAAAAGTTTGCTCGTCAGTAGAGTCTTTTCAACTCTTTTTCAATTTTTTGAATCAAAATTGAGTTGGCTCATCAGTAGAGTCCTTTTTTTTAATCTTTTGGATTAAAATTAAGTTTGCTTGTCAGTATAGTTCCTTTTTAATATTTCAAATCAAAATTTTGTTCACTCGTCAGTAGAGCCCTTTTTTTAATCTTTTTAATCAAAATTAAGTTTGCTCATCAGTAGAGTAACTTTTTTAATTTTTAAAATCAAAAGTTTGCTCGTCAGTAGAGTCTCTTTTTCAATTTTTTGAATCAAAATTGAGTTGGCTCATCAGTAGAGTCCTTTTTTGAATCTTTTGGATCAAAATTAAGTTTGCTCGTCAGTAGAGTCCCTTTTTTGATTTTTAAAATCAAAAGTTTGCTCGTCACTAGAGTCCCTTTTTCAATTTTTTGAATCAAAATTGAGTTGGCTCATCAGTAGAGTCCTTTTTTGAATCTTTTGGATCAAAATTGAGTTGGCTCATCAGTAGAGTCCTTTTTTGAATCTTTTGGATCAAAATTGAGTTGGCTCATCAGTAGAGTCCTTTGTCGAATCTTTTGGATCAAAATTAAGTTTGCTCGTCAGTAGAGTCCCTCTTTGAATCTTTTGAATCACAAATTAGTTTGCTCGTCAGTAGAGTCCATTTTTTATTCTTTTGAATCACAATTAAGATTGCTTGTCAGTAGAGTCCCCCTTTTAAATTTTTTGAATCACAAATAATTTTGCTTGTCAGTAGAGTCCATTTTTAAATATTTTAAATTACAAATTAGTTTGCTCGTCAGTAGAGTCCATTTTAAATCTTCTAGGTCGAAATTACGTTATTAGAGACTTTTTTTAATATTTCAAATCAAAATTAAGTTTGCTCATCAGCAGAGTTCTTTATTCCTCTTCCGGTTCAAAATTTTATTCACTTGTTAGTAGAGTCCTTTTTTTAATCTTCTTGGTCGTCAGTAAAGTCCTTTTTATCAAAATTAAGTTTACTCGTCAGTAGGGTCATTTTTAAATATGAAAAAATAAATATAGCTTGCTCGTCAGAAGAGTCCTTTTGTAATTTTCCAGATCATTAAGATTATCGTCCATCAGTAAAGTCATTTTTTAACTTTTAAAATTAAAATTAAGTTTGCTCGTTACTCTACTAAAGTATAGTCATTTTAATCTTCTAGGTCAAAATTAAGTGTGCTCGTCAGTAAAGTTCTTTTTTGATCTTCTAAATCAAAATTCGTTAGAGGCGTTTTTCTTTTAACTATTAGTTGAAAACTTCATTTTGATAATATTGATAAAAATTTGTGGTCACCAGCGCCCTGTCTAATGGACGTAATGAGGAATATTGAACAATATCCGTGCCTGTCCGACGATTATTATTTATAGTGTTTAACCAGGTGTTACTTTAGTAAATAGATATAAATCATTATTACTTTATTGTTAACAAACCGACGATTGTTATCGATATTTGAAGAAAAAAAATGAGATTGTGCAATATGGACAACAAATGGTCGAAACGATTTCCAATTTCACTTTGACCGAGGCCAAAAAAATAATAGATACTTATTTAATATAATAATAATTATAAGTATGTGTTAATTTTTTTATTTTTTCAGCTTCTCTCCCTGGTACAAAAACCGCCCTCCAGCTGGTCGTCGCCATTCGCCAAAAGTGCACCCCCGAAGAGGCTCTCAATGTGCTAAAAGATTTGCCGAATCCTCGACAAGAAGGGGGCGAACCCGTCGAGACTCCGGGAGAGTCTCCATATAATCCTCTCAAGATCGATGTATTTGTACAAACTCTGCTGAATTTGGGGTCGAAGAGTTTTTCGCACAGCTTTGCTGCCATATCGAAGTTCCATTATGTTTTTAAGGTAAGGGATAATGGATAGAAAAAATGTGCCTCACCATTGTTGATTTAGGTAATTGATTGGGTGATTTTTTCAATTGTTTTCAGATTTTAGCAGAGTCTGAGGAAGCCCAAATATGCATCCTCCGAAATGTTTTCGAGCTCTGGCGCAATCACCAGCAGATGATATGCATTCTGGTGGACAAAATGTTGAAGACACAAATAGTCGAATGTTCTGCAGTAGCCACCTGGATATTCTCCAAAGAGATGACGAGCGAATTCACCAAACTCTACCTTTGGGAAATCCTTCATTTGACCATCAAGAAGATGAATAAACATGTCACAAAACTGAGTAAGTGATAATGATAATAGACTTAAGAGTACTATTGCTACTAACAGACTAAGAGATAATCACGTTTTTGGATCACCCATCCCCTTGATGATATTTAAAATTATCCCCCTCCATCCCCCACCATGACGTGTTTTTTTAGCCACGAGAAAAAATTGTGAATTTTTTTATTTATTTTTTTTGAAAATATTTGGATTTTTATAAAAAAAAAATTCTGGTAAAAAATAAATATACGTGATATCTTACGATACCCCTTTCTCTCCCACGTGATATTTTGTGATATTTTGTCAACTCCCCGCCCTCCCCCTGAAAACTTCACGTGATTAATGGACGCCCCCTTATATATACAATTTCTATGTACTCCTCTGAAATGGCTTAACCGATTTTTACCAAATTTTATATGCGTATTCAATAAGTGAGAATCAGCACTTATATAATTTTATACCCCTAAGTAATAAGGACTGTTCACCCTTAATTTTTTTTGGTAATTTGTGGACGAATTTGTTTGTTTTTATTTTTTTTATAATGTGACATTAAAAATACATACAAGCGCAAATTTTCATGTTTTTATCACCAACCCCTATTTTTATATAGCTATTATAGCAATTCAATCATTTTTTATCATTGATTATTTTTGACTTAATTTTAGTTTAGTTTTTTGAGCTTGAAGAAACAACTTAAATCTTACTTTAAAACACGTTATATTTTTATTAAGGGTTGTCCAAATTATTATTAAATTTTGGTGTCAGTTTTCTTTATTATGTTTACTTCAAACTACTATTTAATTTTATCAAGGGTTGGCTATCCCTATCATTTTTTTGTTTAATTTTGAACCATTTTTTATGTTAATTTTCTATAATTTGAAATTGAAAAATACCTATTGCCAGAACTCTCTTGAATTTGAGAAACTATTTATTTATCTCAAGGGCTGTCCACCCCTAATTTTTTTTTATATTTTGAACCATTTTTTTTAATTTTAATTTTTTATAATTTGAAATTGAAAATGAAAATTGAAAATTGAAATACTTAGAATTCTCATTACTTGGAAAAACTATTTAGTTTTATCAAGGGTTGTCCACCCCAATTTTTTTTTTAAATTTTGAACCAATTTTTTTAATTTTAATTTTTTATAATATGAAATTGAAAAATACTTAGAACTCTCTTTACTTGGAAAAACTATTTAGTTTTATCAAGGGTTATCCACCCCTATTTTTTAAATTTTGAAACCAATTTTCTTTTAGTTTTAATTTGATCTTTATTTGATATTATTTTAGTCAAGATTTTTTTGATTATATGAAAATTAATAAATGTTATATTAAAAAACAATTTACGTTTGTTAAGGGTATGTAACAACCCTTACACATTTTTTCAATAATGAGGTAATTTTTTTTAATATAATTTTTATAATGCGGAATTGAAAAGTACATAAAATTCTTTCTACTTTAAAATACTATTTAGTTTTATCAAGGGTTGTCCACCCCTAACTTTTTTTTTAAATTTTGGAAACAATTTTATCTTAAAGGGGCGTTTATTAATCACGTGATCGATTTTTTAAGGCAACCTCTTACTTTACAGTTGGGGTCACCAATGTTGGTGAATTTTATTTTGTAAATAAATATAATATTATATATATAATATATATATACTATATATAATATATACGAGGTCTGTTCAAAAAGTACCCGGAATTTTCGTTTTTTCAAAAAAACTATTTATTTATTCGTCTACATTAATGTGGTCCCCTTCAAAGTAGTCCCCCCCCCAGATATAATACAACTTATGCCAGCAGCGTTTTTTTTTCCAATTTTCGAAGCACCCTTGATATTCACTTTTTGATATGTCCTTGAGCACTCTCAGCGATTTTCTTCAATCGAGGAAAACCGCCGTCCTTTCATGGGTCTCTTCAACTTTGGGAATAGGAAAAGTCACACGGAGCCATATCTGGTGATTTTTTGCACTTTGCAACACTTTATTTCATTTTTTAACGCAAATTTAATACAAATTCTTTGACTTTTCAATTCTTCATTGTAAACACTCGACCCGAGCTCAGAAAAAACACGTCGAACCTTAGCGACTACCACAGACAAAGTAAACAGTGAATATAGCTGAAAATTTCATCATACTTTAGGGGCATGTATACCACCACATAAAAAAAAAAATTTTGACAATCAGACACTCCAGACCCGCGAAATTTAATTATTAGTAATTCCGGGTACTTTTGAAAACACACCTCGTATATATATATATATAATATATATATATATATATATATATATATGTGTGTGTGTGTATTTAAATTACAATATTAATATTCATTTTTAATCCAGATGCTGAATTAGTAGAGGCCCGTGAGAAATTAGCAAGGCCGAATCATCATCCAGTGAATCTGAAGATGAATCTTCAACAATACAACGAAGAAAAATAAACAGCAAGATAATGCAGATAAACCGACAGA